AATAGACAAAAATACAAATGAACGGTAGGAGAAATAAAGAGATTTAATACACTTTTCACAATATTTCATGGAAGTATTTTAAAGCTACACTGATCTCAATTTCAAAGGGAACTCCTTTATTTATTTGATTTTTCATGGTTTCTAATTCTAGTTCGATGATTGTGTTGCAAAGCTTATGGTTCAGTGTTTTGTATAAAGCTTAAAAATGTCTTGTTTCTTCTGGAAATGGACTTAACCTATTTATTTATGTAGTCATTTATATGTAATAATACAAAAAAAAACTAAAATAACTAATGTGTATTTTTTTAAGAAAACTCTAAAACATCCCAATGCTATTTTTTTAAAACCCGACAGGTTTCCGCATTACCACAATGAAGTGAGAATTGCCGCGTTCTAAAATTAATGTTCTTAACTGTTTTATGTTTATTCCTTCTACTAGTCCCTCTCAAATCCGTGTCAGAAAATCATCGTTTTTATAATAACTGCCCTCGCCACGACAGCCGGTGTTCTGCAACTTTCTGGGGGCTCGAACCGCGTGCCCCCCGGCCGAATGCAACTGCAGGTGCCGCGCGGCGCGCGATGTCAGGCCGCAGCGTCGCCAAATCGTCGCTTTCGCGCTCCCGCATGTCAGCTGGCGGGCAGGCGGCGGCGGCGGCGCGACCCGAATACGGCGGGGCCGGCAGGTCGTTGATCTCCGCCGAGTGATTGTTGTGGGTGGCGGGCCTTCACAGCGCCGACGCCTCCCTCCTCAGCGCGTTTCGGGAAAATAGGACTTATCACAGAGAATTGGATGGGCTGGAGATTGTTCCCTCGTCTTTCTTGAAAGAATGAAGAGCCTCGCAGCAAAGATATCATTTTGCAAATGACACAATTCATTTCACAATACATTTTCGATTTTCACTCATTTAAAAAAAAAATACTCAAATCAAGAAATGATGAGATAAAATATACCCAAGAGTATTCTCAGAATTAATTCACATTTACATAACCGAAGATGGTCTTTTCTTCCATTTTCAGGTCTTCAGCTCCTCAATCGCAGACTTTTCTGGGGCTTGTTTCGTCACGGCACCTCTGATTGTTCACATGTCCTTTTGGGGGAGGGTGTGCGAACTATTCCCAGGAGAAAATTGTCAATTCGTACTTTGATCTGGGAATCGTCCATTTCACATTATTGCAAATTGTACTTACGTTTAGAGAGGAAATGAAAAAAGCATTCACAAAAGAATATTAAAATACAAAGATAAAATAACTTACAGTTTCATCTTCCACTTTAAAATATAAATATATTCAACTTTCACTTTATATTATAGGAGAAAACGATGTTAAATTTATTATGCGTTTCACGTTGATTAGTTCTTTTCTGAGATTTATTTCCCGTTAGGAGCTATTTTTGTTCCTTTGGAAGTGTATCTTCAGTGTCGTCTGTTTTACCTATATTTTCAATAATCAATATTTCTTTCCCCTTTTATTACTTTATACTTCTCATTTTGAATTCTATAGTTGTTACATACTGAACCTTTAGTAGGAACTATAAATATTAATATTTATTTTATTAATATTTGGAAGGATCATGTCTATCCTTAGGCTATTTCCAAATTTCATTTATTACACCGTGTTACTAAGGGCAAGAGAAAGAGTCATACAATTCAAACAATTGTTAAAAATGTTTATTTAAATTGTGATTTAAACGTAAGTATGTAAGTATTCGTGTTTTACACCCAGAAATACTTTTAACGTAAATGGAAACACGTTTAAATGCACATTTCCGTATTACATCTCTCCACTTGCTACTACTTCTTAATTTCATCATGTAATGTATGTGCTCCGTTACTTTATCTAATGTTTCCAACTCTCCACGGTCCTGATAAAGACGATTACTCCTCCTTAGAGGAGTAAAATAAATATACGAGTATTTCAAGTAGATGCAAAAAGCATGATGTATCAAATTTCTTGAAATTGTGTTCAAGCTATATGGTTAAGCGATATTACTTTTCTTTACTTCGGACCGACTTAAATCTATTGAATATAAAGTGCTATTCACCAACAGAAATAAAAATCTCTCAGGTTTCATCATTACTTTTATAAGGGCAAAGATATGAAATAATCTAAGACACTTTTGCGAAGTTCAGTGGTTCCAAAGAATGAACCCGTTAAGAAATGTTAATCGTGTGACAAAAGTGATAATTAAAATTATACAAATTACATGAACTTGTTTATATGATTACTTTAGTTTACTCTTTCAATAGTCTACTCTTTATAGTTCCTGATAATATTCTGTAATGTTATTGTGAGCTTTAGACCAACTATAATGTTATTGTTCGGTTTGGAGAAACAGAAAAATCTGCGTTTACTAATAGTATACAGAACAAAGAGGCATTTTTCAATAAGATCTCTGATCAAATAAATTGGTCATCGAGAATTTAGAAGCAATTTGCTTTCCGCTCCAGTTGCAACTGAATACAATATCTTTAATGAGGGCGGAACAATCAGACTAGTTTTTGCGGTGAAGTTACTGTTGATCTAAAAGAGACGTTTGTTCTTGAGAAAGACGTCGAAAATTAAGGAAACTTAAAAGTTCTTGCATGTAATCACACACAAGAGGATTGAAGGTAAATTCTGACCCCGTTCTGAGCCGAAATTCATTAACTTCCGACCTGCCAATTCAGACACAAGTTCAAACGAAATGGCTCGCTGTTTGCGAAATCTGGCAACCGCGTTAGCATTCTTCTGCAAGTGTGACGCCGACTGTCCACTGAATTGGAACACCCACTGCTGACCTCGACCAATAGCTGGCAGTGAGGTCAGTGGCTTTGTATTGTTAGGTGACCTAAAGCACATTTGTGCACTTCTAGGACTATATATGGACAGGTGTGTTTACATAACTTAATGTTCTTTGCTAAGGACGAGAGAAATGCATTCACCTTTCTTGTTGAAACGTTTTCACTGAAAGAACCATTTTTCTTCTAAATGTAAGAAAATAATTAACGAAGCATACACTCGATTATCCTCTGACAGAGAAAGTAACTGCACACTACGTGTAATGGTAATGTCTCCACACTACTCACTTTCCCACGAAATAAATCTTTTGTAACAAATACAGATTAGTTATTTTGAAGCTTCAAAAATAGAATTTAAAATGCGTTCAGTGAAAAACAAGCAACGAATTACATAAATGTGGCATATAAAATCGTTGTACTTTATGTTCTCGCATAGATTAGTTTTATAACTTCGTGTACATCTTTCATCCTGACACGTATGTAATCTAATACAAATCTATTTTAGTCGTTTTCTGAGAAATATTAATGTTAGAAAATTTTTGACAGGTAAATTTAAAATGTTTACTTGTTTGTTGTATCATGTAAATTGGTCGATTACAGTAAAAATATATTTTTTTGCACGTAATTCTAAGTTATTTGTATTTTCAGGTACCTTTGAATAACTTCAACAAACTGCTAGGCCGTTCAGGAGATCAAAAATGATAAATTTTTGTCAATCAAGATATATTACTAAAAAGTCTAATAACGACGTAACACCTTTGGCTGATTGTTAGGGGAATTCATGAATTCAACATCACGAATTCATGAATTATTATTTGGCCGGTCACTTTCTGTCTCAGTCAAAGGAGATTTCGAGTGGACGCCAAGCACTAAAGTATGATGCGTTGCCTGCCTATCGGTGCCGAATATCACAAGTTTTACGTCGTTTCACGGAATTCCCCACAATATTGTATCTTTTTCGGGATATTATTGAAACCAAAGAAATGTGTTTTGTTCAGAAAAGGAAGATTTTATTTCCCAAATCTTTATTTGTTTCCAATTAGTCAACGATATTTAAGTTATGTACAAAATGGTTTATGTCTTCTGGCATTTTTATTTAAGTAAATTGATTTTATGAAACTGAATATTTTGAGATTATACCATTAAAAGAAATGGCGAACTCCGTCCATGAAATAACCATGCATCAACTACCAAGAGGCGATTAGTGTAATGTCAAGATAAAGATTTATTGCACATACAAATTATTTTTTGATCCTTTTACGTTAAAATCTAATTTTTAGAGTTTTACAGAGACAACAGAATTCCCTAAAATCACCGATATGTTTATTGCCAAAACGTTATCACATTCCATCCTCGTACAAACCCGAAAACATTTACTCTGTGACACTCAGTAAATGCAGTTTAAATCAGAATGAGTCTCTGAATTGTGTCTGTGTACAGTTTGAATTTGAATTCCGCCCGTCTGTGAACAACACTAGCGGATAAATGTTTCAGCCGAGTTACTTCAAAATTGATAGTCCTTAATTGATCTGGCTGATGTCGTGGGACCGTGAATTTGAAACCGAAACTTTAATTTGGGGGGGGGGTATTTTACATGCAGACCTTGAGATATTTTTCAAACATTCGAAAACATGGCTCACTCGTTTTTTAATTAATTTTTTGTATGATAATGTGAATGAAGTATTGGAGACTCATTTTTCTTGTAAACTCTGATTTTTCGAAAATTGCAAAATTGTTCCCGCGTCTTCCTTCAACTAGAATTATTAGTAGGTATTTTTCCCTTACTTAAATCTTCTTTCTTTCTTAAAGATATATTTATCTTTCATAAAGATATATTCTTCTTAAAAATATATTTATATATTTTTAAAGAAATATTTTGAAATAGGTCAAGTAGAATTTTTTAAAAATTTGAGTACTTTTCGAGTAATTTTGCGCGGCCGAGAAAGTACGTGCTGTTTTTGCACCGCGGAGCGTCGCCGTGCCAGCGGCAGGAGGCGCCGTGGCTCCGTGTTGCGTCACGGGGCGTCGGGTTGCGCTGCGTCGCTGTTTCGTGGCCGCCTCCGAGGCGCGATTACCGCTGAGGCGACGGAACTCGGGGACTTGGGGGCGGGGACGAGGGAGCAAGCCAGCACGAGAGACGGGAAGCGGGAGGCGGGATGGGGCAAGCGGGTTGACGGCTCAGGGCGGGGAGAGATGGCGCGGGGGGGGCGCATCGGCGTGCTGATGGAGCTGTGCGGGGCGAGGCGGAGCGGAGAGCAGAGGCGAGATGACACGGTGGGGCTGGGAGTACGACACGACAGTGGAAGAGATGTGGCGGGGCACGGCGGAACGAGATGCCTAGGGTGAAGCACAGGCTGTGTGCAGCGGGCGGGTATTGAGGGCGCGGGTGAAGCGTTAGGGCTGCCAGGGACGGTGAAGTAAAGCGGGAGGGGTTGCAATGTGGCGGGATGGACAGAGCAGGGACGAGTGCAGATGGAAGGAGGGGCGAGGCGGAGTGGGGCGGGGCGGAGCGGGGCGGAGTGGGGCGGGGCGGAGCGGGGCGAAGCGGGGCGGAGCGGGGCAAAGCGGGTGTCAGCGGGACGGAGCGGGGTAGAGCTGGGCAAAGCGGGGCGGGGAGGGAGCGGGGGCGAGCGGATCGTTGCACCCGCGTGCGTCGCTGGGAGCCCGAGGTCGCCACGCGTCCCCGGCCAACGCAGCAGCTGCTCGCAGCTCCGCGCCGCCAGGTAATTAAGAGCGCACCGCCTGCACCAATGACTAATCGCGCGGTGACCCCTGTGCGCCCAGGGCGAGGCGACGCGGCGGCCCACCTCTTTGAGGCTCGCGGCGGGCGCAACCAGGAGGGAGAGTTGCTTGTTCCATGCACACAGCCACCGCCGGAACGCGAATTTGTAGTTCTGCTTTAAAGGCGCAGGTCTAAACACGTAAAAATATAGTTAACATTTTTTGGAATAATAAACAAATTGGAACTTGAAAGTATTCACAGGAAAGCTTAAAACAGAGTAGGAGAAATTATAAAGTTTCGAAAACATTCGCAATGTAGTAAATGGATGCATGAAAATTTAACGAGACTGACATCCAGATCCTTTTTGTCTGTCTGTACTTGGCGCGACAGCCTGCGAACGGGCCAGCAGGGTCCTGACCTCGCGGCCGTGGGTTTAAGGGTTACTAGCCTAAAGACATCCCTACGTCGTATTCCGGTCTTCTCAAGTGAGAAGTGAGTTTTCTCATCGTCACACAGCAACATTGCAAGGAAAACGTACACTATAATCTTGCCGACTGGGAATCGAACCCGAGGTCTCGTCGTGGGAAGCGAGCAGAGCTCGCAAGAGCCCAACCGCAAGGAGTAAGATCCTTTCTTCAAAAATTATTAACGTGCAAAATCTGTATGGGTTTTACCTTCCGTAGTTTGAGCATCGTAAGACTGCTGCTCGGCAGTAGAACTTATAGTTCATTTGCTGAGCACCCCCAAAAGTATCGGCGAACATGACGTTTGCAAGAATGAAATATGAAGTAGTCATTCAAATTACTCGTCAAATTTTGTGATTGATTACACTTAAGCTTTACTAGATAATAGATCTGATTTTTTAATGTAAAAATAAGTCAAGAGAAGTTTCTTTCTAATAAAATACAATATAACTGGTGTATATGAAAGTAATTAAAGTGTAAAAGACAGAAAATTCTTGAATGTAGACCAGAGACAATATAAACACGTTAAGAACATACCATTGGAAGTATTAATTAACAGGGCAGTTAACATTCGAATATTCGAATCTGGAATCTTCAACTCTCGAGAAACAGAGGAATGTAGTTCTTCGTCCGTAACATTCAGCACGTGTCATCCAGGAAGTATTTTCTTCGATACGTCGAACTTTCCTTTGCACCGCTTATCGTACTGACGTTTGTGGCTTCTTTGTTGGCTTTCTTACAGCAACAGGTGCGAGGCAGCCGGAATTATCTAGAACTAGAGCAAGGGGCCGTGGTTATCTCGGAAACACTTTCACAGCCCGTGTCACTTCCTGGTCTCGATTTCGCGGATCCAATGGACTTGGAGGCCAGAGTCAGAAGAGTCCCATCACATGCCCGCAATCGAAAAACCAGAGCGAAGCAGTGGACAGCTGCGGGGGAGGCACTACGGACGCCTTCCGCTTAATTCCGCTTAATATTGTCAAATCTCATTATCGTTGTCTTTTAGCAATTGCAATAATTTTATATTTATTCTCTAAACTCATGTCACTCCTACTTAACTTCTATCACTAGCATGTTAAATGTTAAACGTGAACATATTGAATTTCTAATGACTTCTCATGAATTTCTCATGACGTCCAATTATATACTTCAAACACATTTGCAAGAAACATCTTTACGAACCCAGTTAGATTTACAAAGGTTACAAATGGTACGTCTCAAATGTCTGAATTAAGTTTCATTCAATGTTACCTGTGTTGTTACCTGTGAATATTCGTATTTGAAATGCCACTTATTAAGTTCCTTATACTGAAAAAGATATTCTGGTTGCGGTTCTGGAAGAATTGGCCTACACATTCAATTAGGGAGGAGCTTGTCCTTCACAGTAATGGTATTAGATATTAGCGTTACAAAAAAATCCTTTCAGTCAATAATTATACTGGGAGCGTATTAATAGCGGTGTTTTCTTCACATTCCAGTTAAAAGTAAGATTTCATTGGCATCTTTTGAATCCTAATTTATTAAAAGCTTTAATGATCTCATTGCGCTGAAATAAACATTCACTTCTTACGGTGTATTACCTGAAATGATAACGTTCCGTTCGCTGGTTTAGCTTTCTGAGTTGAAGAGTGAAGCAGCTACTGGTTATTACGCAGATCTGGAAAATTGTGTATATTTATCAAGTTCACTAACAAGCAGATCCCAAGATAGTGACAGAGTAGTGACTACTTTTCTGTTATCTTCCTTCAATCAAAATATGACTCAAGACTTACACAGTTTTCGCCTCAGCATTATATAACATTCCCAACAGTATGTAGACCGCACGATCTTTGCTTTCTCTTAGAAGTCGTATTCTCGCCCCATACGTACATTTACATGGACTGTATCACAACACTTATTGGGAGACCAGTCGGGGGTCAAGAGTTTGACCCGCCTGGCGTGGTGCCATGCTGATGGAAACAGTAATCAATCAATCAATCTTTACTATGTAGTATGCACGTACGTATACGAGGGAGTAAATATTTAAAACTTCCAAGGACGTTAACAAAATTGGAATGAATGTGTTTGATGAAAACAGAATTAAATTAGATCAAACTATTTCCTGACGAAATGAACTGAGTGTGTAGTTACGTAATACACGTCCACAATGCGTCCAGCAAACTGAAAACCTCGTTCGGGTCGTTTTTCACTTTCTGCCGAAACGCAGCAGGCGCGAAGTGTTTGTCTCGGCGCCCCGCCGCTGTGATCACGTGCCTGTGACGCGCAGAAATGAAATGGCCATCAGCCGCGATGACTTTCCTCTTGCGGAGGCGGCGGCCGAGGCGGCTGCGCGGCTCCCGGATGCAGCCGCCGCAAAAGGCAGCGCGCCTCCGGCCGTCGTCGCAGGGGCCGGGGAAGCCCCAGAGGCGATGGCACGGGTGGTGGCGGATAGCAAGGGAGGACAGAGGAGAGGGTTGGGGCGGAGAAAAAGCCTGGGTGAAGGCGGAGGTGAAGCAGGGAGAAGGCTGAGGCGGTGTCGGGGGTGGGAGCAAGAGCGAAAGTAAGAGTGAAGGCGAGGCGAGACAGGACCAAGAGCGAGAGGCATAGTGAAGGCAGTGGCAAGGGCGATGGTGGGGGACGAGGACGATGCGGAGGGCGAAAAGCGGGGTGGGAGCGGTAGAGATGGTGGCGAAGGCGGC